GAAATATCTCTTTCTTGCAATAGTTCAAACAATCAGTGGATCCTTTTAGGACTCAAAAAAACAAATGAACTAAAAGTTTAAGGCATTAGAGCAAAAAAGAAATATTCCTTACAATTTTCAGTTTGTGAAATTAATCAGGATAATGTTCTTAATTTTATCATTTTCTGTAAAGTCCTTCCTTTAGAGAAGGATCAGGTAAAACACATAGCACTCTATGCTCACACCTGTTATCACTGTAACAATGCCAAACAGGCATTGTATGAAAATAAAGAAGCCATGTATCATATAGTCCATCCCTTAGATGCTTCCAAGACAAGTGGACCAAGGGGTGTTACAGCAAAAATTGCTTTTCATTCAGAATATTAAAAATAATTGATGGGCTGTAGGAAATAGCATGCACAGGACCTCCTGAAACTCTCTTGGCAGATCTCTCTGCGACTGAGTGAGACACGTTCCTCCCTGTTCAGGTGGGTACTTACCATCCTCTGTGGGCACGTAGATGTTTAAGTAAAGGCAGTCTTCGTTCTGATCTTGAACGTAGGTCATCAGAGTATCCAGGTTGGCTGTGAACCAGATGGGCAGCATGTCATGTAATAAGGACCTCTCATCCAGGTGCTGGGGACAGACAGCAGGAAACTGCGTGGCATTTCGAACCCCCATCCAGGACGATGGTGGCTCAGGGGGCTGAAACCGCCTCTCTCCGGTGGGAGGCGAAGCATAAGGGACCCCCAAGTATTGCTCCACGGGACCCAAAATTTCATTGGGCAACGGTGTTCTTAGGCCCCGGATTTTGCCATAATTTGTATTGACCACCGGATACTGTGCTTGGCTGTCGATGAGCGTGAACTTAATGGCAAGAGCAGTTATCCACAGGAAGACGTTGGAGTTCAACATGATGCAGACCGGGGTAAAGAACGGGAGCCATAACAGTCCCTTGGGGCTCGGCATTGTTCACTGCCACATTCGCAGGGGCCCGGGTGATGCAACGCCACGCAGACAAACAGGGACGCGAGCCCGTGGAGAGAGAGGGCTTTCCAGGGAGTGGAAGACCCA